TATTTGTTAGGAGAACAGCAAGATGAAACAACAAATGTAAAAGAGAGAGAGGAAAAAGGCAATTTTATTTCTTGCTGCTTTATTTAAAGGCAGCAGAGTAGAAAAAACTTACAATATAGTAACGACAGTGGAAATAACTTTCATTCTCCTGAGCATTTATCATCGTATAGCTCTTAAACGTGGGCGAAACACGCCGTTCACTAAAGTACATTAGTCAGCCCACAGTAATTCCATAGTGGTGCCAGTAATTCCATAGTGGTGCCACAGCATACAAACTTCATTTAGTACCTTCTCAACCTTTTGTAAAGGCATAAAAATGTTACTTTGAGTAGGAATCAAACAGCAGAACACGAGCAAACAGTGTGCTTGATTATAATCAAAGAAACTCAGCACAGTACGAATATCTAATGTTGAGTGGAAAACCCTAATCAAAACCATGTCACATCTCGGGTCGCATAAACCGCGCAACACGCTAGAGCAAACAACACTATTTATCTGTTCAACAGACGGTTACCGTCATCACTTTGAGTTTCTTTGATTATAATCAACTTATTACAAAAGTTGTGGATTTCGAGAAAACAGTGTGTTTGCCAGCAGATTGGCTGAAAAGGCACAGTCTACGTATTTGGGTTTTCTTGTCTTCACAAACATTCATGAGTCTCAGTTTGGTTTTTATAGAAGGACATCCTTACTTCTTGAACAATATGAAATATTTTCCTCTGCCACCTTGAAAGGACGTGGGCCATTAAGTCCCTTTCCTGGCCCAAAACATTTTCGGCTTTTTTGCATTGAAATGGTGTCAGGGCATGCCCAGGAACATTTTCAGATAGTGTTTTTCGCGATCGGGTTTTCGAGGCCTGAGGTCCCCCTCAGAGTCTTCGAAAAACTTTTCATTTTTGATTTTTCTCAAACACATCTAAACATATGTAATCGATCATGCTGATCACGAATACCGATGTTAGAATTCATGAAAAGATTTTGTTCGATCAGAATCTCGGAATTACAGGTTTGCTGATATGCGGACGAGGAGCGCGACAATAACTGAATCAATGATGATGCATCTAGTGAGGAACGCAGAAGATTAGACTATTCATGTATCTCCAAGATGTCAAACGCCACCAGATCACATTTTCACTTTGGTCAAAGCAATGCTGATATGACGACGAGGAGGACATGAACAACTGCATCAATGATGATACATCTAGTGAAGAATGCAGATCAGCAGACTGTTCATCTATCTCTTAGATCCTACATGGGAACAAATGACATTTTACGTATCTTAACAGGAATGCTCATATGACGATGAGGCGCTTACCAACAATTGAACCAATGAAGACGCAGCTAGTGAAGAATGCTAAGCAGTAGACTATTCACCTACCTCTTGAATGTTAGATGCTGCCAGTTCACATTTCACTTGTCTTCAATGTTCATGTGTCGACGAGAACTTCACCAACAGTTGAATCACTGATGATACAGGTAGTGAGGACTGCATATTAACACACTATCCATCTATCTGCTAATAAGTTACAGGGTACCAGATGACAGTACAGTGTTGTCCTGAGGTTTTCCAAAATGTCTGTTTTTTGACGGGAAGTGCTGCTTTTTAATTGATTCCTTTTTAGAAACTATACGGAACGTATATCCTGTTATGCTCGTGAGAGTGTGACAGAAATTTAGAAATCCGAAAAGCCTGAAAGTTGATAAAACGAAAAAATCGTAATAATGAAAACAGGAAAGAAAATGTGGTGGTTTTCAGTCTCCTTATTGACATCTTATCGAGAGGTCCCTATGGCTATTTTTGCTTGTTTTGTTTCGGTTTACGATTGAGTGTTAGATAGATGGAACGAGAATTGAGCGAGTCCAGTGACTCAAGGACTCTCGGTAGTGAACGATCACAGATTTGACTTACAGCAGTGGATGTCTTTGAATAACAACAAAAGTCAGCACACTTAATAAGAAGAATAACTTTATATTAAATGTTGATTAATTACGTACAAAACGAGTACTTACCAGGCTGATTTCACTCTTGCTTTTACGACACCTTTTTAAGATGCAGATATAGTTTAATGTTCAATAGTTTTTGAAGATGTCGCATGTGCGCACTTTTCATAGTGTGTGCGGTTTTTTCTTTTATTTTTCGTTCAGTTGCGTTCAAACTAATGGGAATCTCCATTCAATCTTTGCAAAGTCCTCTTTGTCCTCTTTTGCAGTCATTTTTCCTCTTTTTTTATGATTTTGTTACACAAAATGCCTGAATCTTAGCAATTTTAGATTCGAATATTTAACTCTTTTAGCTGAGTATCTATCTTATGTTAAAAACTTTCAGTTGAAGCAAAGCTTTTCTTATACCACCCGGCACCGAGCTGCTGAATCAGATTGCAGGTCATCAAGTTAAGCACAGATTAACCTGGAACCAATTTAGCTCGAAAGACTGTGTAACCAGAATCTATCTTTGATTCGGATTCTCCCGCGTGTAACCCGGCCGAAGTAATCTGGAGGAGCTACAATTCTAAAGACAATATAAGCGGAAAGTGATCTTATCATAAATATGTGCAAAAATGCTCTATGAGTTAGTTTTGAATGTTTATCTCCTAATGATAATGAGTGCTATGAATTTTTATGGGATGAAATGTTAACGCAAAATAAATTGAATTTATATATAAAATTGCTAATGAGTGTTTATCATTCAATCATTCATCATTTTTATGTTTATATAACACAATGGGTAAATTTCATAAACAAAAATTTGATTATTCAACAGCAATTTATAATTATAAAAAGAAACTCGATATCGAATTAAATGGTTCAGTTATAACGTACAATCAAATACAACATTTATACATTAAACTTGATGACATATCATTAACATTATTATATTTGAAAAAAATGTATGATATACAGTTTGGAATAAATCGTCCTGAAACACTAAACACATGCATGATAATGGTAACTTATTATCAAACGCGTGCTTTAGATGATGAGAAAAGATTGTATTATGCTAATGCTTGTTACAACGCTATAAAAATCACTGAAATGTTAATTGAGATCATTCATAATTGGCAATTTCCTACAGTATTGAGTAAGAATAATAGGGTATACCGAAAAAAGTTAAAAAGAAAAATATTAAACGACTAATACTAAAAATCAATTGAATATATTTCTATCTTATTTAAATATCATTTTGCAAGCCAAAATAGGAACGAAAAAATCTTCCATTTTGCAAGCCAATTAATTTAGAAAAAAATATAGATTGTTTCATTATATAAGTAATCAGATGTTGTTAATAAAAGAAAGATAATTAATCAAAAGGAAAAAAGCATAATTAAGACATGATATTGAAAAAAAGGCTGGTAATAAAAGAACGATGTTCCGGCTCATTCAAACATTTATCGGTGGATCGAGCAAATGTGTAAAGAACAAGATTATGCTCGCTGTCGCGGCATCTTAGAAGCAGGTAGTGATGTAACATCCAAAAAACTGCGAAAAGAAGACGAAGACGCTGATTTCGATTTGTGTGTAGCCAAAACGGCATTAACTATTAGTGAAACAGAGTTTGAAGATTATCTTCATCATGTAAGACGCGTAGCATATAAGTATATTTTCGAGGTCGGTAGAAAAAAGGACGGTTTGAAATAGACAGCTGGATCATCGTTCTTTTATTACCGGCCTTTTTTTCAATATCAAGTCTTAATTATGCTTTTTTCCTTTTGATTAATTATCTTTCTTTTATTAACAACATCTGATTACTTATATAATGAAACAATCTATATTTTTTTCTAAATTAATTGGCTTGCAAAATGGGAGATTTTTTCGTTCATATTTTGGCTTGCAAAATGGGAAATACGAAAATGCATAAAAAGTCAATTAGCTTGCAAACTGGGAAGCGACCAATATAAGATATAACACAGAACAAACGCCGCGACGCGCGCCGCGTCGCGGCGTGATCACTCACGTGAAAAATCACTGAAATGTTAATTGAGATCATTCATAATTGGTTTAAATAAAATTAGTTTTTTCACATCAACGCAATTTGGTTTTCGAGCTAATTCATCCACTGCTGATGCGCTATTGCATGTTACAACTCAACTAACAAAGATCTTAAAAGAAAAAAGGGTGGCATTAGGAGTTGCGTTTGATTTTGCTAAGGCGTTTGATAGAGTTAGTCATCGAGTTTTATTAGAAAAGTTAAGTAGAGCGCAAGTGACCGGTAGTCTTTTTGAATGGTTTCACTCGTATTTATCGGATAGAGAGCAAATGGTAGTAATCAATAATAGAAAATCAAAAGCAGCAAAAGTTACATCTGGCGTGCCCCAAGGGAGTGTCCTTGGCCCTTTGCTTTTCTTGATTTTCATAAATGATTTGAATGAGAAATTTCCTTCTACAGTGACAGCACCGCTTTTTGCTGACGATGTTTTTGGTTTAATTCCTCTTCAAAATTTTAACGATCTCTCAGAAGTTCAAAAGTTTTTGGATATCATGTCTGATTGGTGTGGAAAAAATGAGATCGATTTAAATACAGAAAAATGTTTTTATATGCCATTTTCCAATTTAAAACTTTCTGATCAATATCCTCAACTTTATGTTTCTGGGAAACCGCTTTTATTAGATAAATACATTAAATTGTTAGGCGTGTATCTTTCACCAGATTTGACCTGGAAGTATCATCTAGAAAATATCAGTAAAAGATGTAGACAAATGCTAGGAGCGATGAACAGAGTTTTTAAGTGTGCATCAGAGTTCATACGTCTTCATATTTACAAAACGTGTATTTTACGTCAAAATCGATGTAAAGTTTGGAACCTGCCCTGAGCCCTAACCAGCCATCAGGTTTGTAATCTTTTTCGAGCATCAACGGGATGATTTTACTTTTTCGATTGAATGCGTATTCGGCTTCTGCTTGACAGTTAACACTCGATTTATAATCGTTCGACATACAAATTAGTACGAATTTGGAATTTTCAACCGCTGTTGCCATGGCTTCAACGATCGAACCATGCATTTCATCTGTCTAGCCAAACAGAATAGCCATCCTTTTCTAAACGATCGTTAATTCGATGACACAATTCTTTTTGTGCCCAACAATAAGAAATCATCATGTCATAATGTTCAGGTTCATCTTTATTGTCTTCTGCTTCCTTCTTTTCCTTTGACAATTTCTCGTCTTTCTCCTTCTCGTCTAATTTCTCTTTTACATCCGACTTCTTTTCTTGCGATTGTTTTTCATCGGCCTTCTTTTCGTCGGCTTCTTTGATAAATTTTTCTTCATCCTCCAGTTTCCACATGACTCCATGGGCTGCTTTCGTTACCTCTATGTTGTCGGACAACTTCATTTCTTTGACATGATCGATGAAATCTTTGTCCTTGCTAAATGTATTCTTCACATCAGGATTGAACGAGAGTGCATAGGCAGCTTTCAGTGGCGCAGGATCATCGATGGTCTCTTTGGTATATTGTATAATCGATGGTAGAAGATTCTGATCAACAGCTTGCTGTTTAACTTCGTCGCTGTGCACCATACCTAACATGAGAAAATATTGAAAAACAATGCTTGAAGCTATCCGTGAGAGTTCACAAACCTATCAGTCCTTCTAGAAGTTCGTTTGCTGTGCTATCTTTGCCTTTTTCAACTGCATCGTTGAAATTTTTCACAATTAAACTGGTCGCCTTTGCTGCATCGTTCGTTTTGGTAAACTCTTCCTCGGGCACGAGCAATGAAAGTAATTTGAGAGCAGACAATTGCAGCCTTTCATTACGAGTATCGTTCGAGAGCTGTTTCAGGATGCTCAATAATTTGGTGTTATCGGTTGTCTGCTTTTTCAGTTCAGATAAGAGCTTGGAATCCGAGCGAATAAGTTGAAATAGAACGCGAAGTACAGTATGAACAAGTGTAATATGTTCTTGTTCAAAATTCGAATTGGTGATTGATTTTTTAAAAAGAATCATAATCAAAGCTTTTTGAATAGCAAGTTTCTGGTCTAATGGAAAGGAACTTGAATCAGATAGGATAAACCGAATTGGATAGAGCAAACATAATACAACTGTATCAGTCCATTTTTCGATGTTAGGAAGAAAATGATCAAACAATTCAGTATAGTGAGGTAGCAGATGTTCTAGAAGTTTTTCACAATAAGATTTTTGTCTATCACATGTAAGAATATAATCCGGACAAGTGACGAGAAGAAACTGTTGGGTCAATGTCAGAGTAGATGCATTGATATCACCAAGTTTATATAATGTATCGGTGTAGAAATGAGTCGAGACGCATCGAACAATAACATCAAGCAATTGATCACATTCAAGATCGGTAAATACTTGGATCAGCGAATCGTACGATTTCAAATTAGGATCCTCTGCTTTTTTAATGTCCAAGTAATAGCCATAGGAAGCAATATCATCTGCACATTTTGCTATTAAATCTATTAGTGTTACCTGTTCGTTGAGCCACGTTGCAGCTTTATCGCTGGTCGTGCTGAAGTTGAACAAATAGTCGGTGTACTTCTGGAATGTGTCTTTCTGATTGTTATCCAATGAATGATGAGTGTGAGTGTGCCAATGTTGCAGAATACTACTCAATTCCTTTGATACTTGTTCATTGAGAAACGTTTTCTCGTCAATATTATCAGGAAGAACAGATAATGCTGGTGCAGGCAATTGTTTGTTGCGTAGTTTCCAGCCATCTAGTGCCCTCTTGGAATCTTGTTGGACTTCATCCCAGAGCAATTTATTCTTTTTACCGTCCATCTTGAACGGAAGTACCTAGAAATAAAAACTGGGAGAAACTAGATAGTAGTCGAGTCGAGCTTCAACTACGAACTGCGGTGGGAAGCACGATTTTCAAGGAATCGGAAATAATCAAAATCGAAAAGAGGTTGAGAAGCCGATATGACGAAATTCATTACTACGAAAACTCTACCAGAACTTATCGACATATGTTAAAAGAACGCTAGCGATTGATCGTTTGAGTAATTATCTATAATCGGCTATCTTTACAGTTGTTCTGTAAGAATTGGGGCCTAACTTTTCTGTTTTAATTATCTCATATCCGAAAAACACAAATTTGTCTTTTATTGATCCTTCTGTAAAGAAGCGAAACTTCCTACGAAAGATCAGAAAACGGATATTCTCGATTCAGTCTCGATATTTTAATATAGCGCTTCAATGAGTATTTTCTGATTTACTATTCCCGAGATAATCGCAAAATGAAAATTTTTTTGAGTCCATCAAGAAAGTACCAAAAAAATAAATGTTGTGCTTCATACTGCATTAAAAATATCAAGGATACACAACTATTAATTACGTTTCTTCGCTTATTTATCGACAGATAAAATGTTCTTCACAGACGATCGAATTTACCTTGTCATTTCCAATTCCTATATATATTCATAGAAGTATAATTGTGTCAATCTGATTTTTTCGAAATTGTGATACTTGTTCAGAGTTTGGATATTTTTAAATTTCTCATGCTAAAATAATTTCGAAATATTTTTTATTTCTATAGTTCAGTTCTATATATAAAAAATTGATTAAAAATTAATATAAATCAACGTTATATTAATAGTCAAAACTTCTATCAAATCACAGAATAATATTTTAATAACTGACTCAAAAAGTAATTTTTTCATCAAATAATAATTTATAGAAAGATTTAGCTTTGATATCTAAGCTTTTATTATTTATTCTTAAACAAAACGACATTCAATGCCGATCGGGTTCTTCGCTGTATTTAAGAATAGATTATCTTTAATAATAACTAATAATATTGATAATTGAAGTTTCGGGATATTTTAGAATTTCCATTAATATTAAGTCAAATAATGTATAAATTTTTGTAATTATCATTGATGTCACCTTATTAAGTGTTCAATTTTTGTTGCTCTAGTTTTGATTAATTTGAGTTTTTCTTAATAACACTCGTTATACCAGCGCTGCATAAAGAAAATTTTTAGAGGGGGGGGTATTTCCGAAAAGAATTTCAGGGGGGTATAAGGGGGGGTATTTTTTCAAAGTCGCTAAAAACGCTTAAAAACACTTTACAGCTTAAAATTTAATGATTTTTGATGTTTTTTTTGCAAAAATAAAATTTTCGAAAATTTTGGACTTTTTTTCCTAAAAATTTCGTTAAAAGTGCACAAAATCGTCATTTCTAATCAAATTAATACTTAAATGGATATAATAACATCAAAAAGTGTTAAATATGTTTGATTTTGCAGAAAAGTAACTAAAAAAATGACAAAATATTTCATCAAAAATGACTTATTTACTAGAAATTCAGAGTTTTTCTGTCGTTTTATACAGTTATCAGTACAAAATTTGCAAAATTTAGACAAAATTTTTACATTTTATATCAAATGCCGAAGGCTGCAAATTTTTCCTCTTAGGGAAGGGGGCCATACCTACCTTAGGAGTCTACTATTTCTCTACGGTTTTCTTATACAAAATTTTCTTCGCTAGGGGGGGTACCCTACCAGAGGGGGTATACCACCCTATACCCCCCTTTGTGCACCTCTGTCGTTAACCAGTATAAACCAGTTCATGAATTTTATTTTATGAACTTATTATCAAAAAAAATATTTATTCAGTTTATACGTTAATTCAGATCAAAGTTTAATTATATTTAAGGTTAAAATGTATAGATTTAATACCAATAGAGTATTGTCGAACAATTTAATCATTAAATCAGTGTAGTTAATAAAATATTATCATATAAATATTGAAGAGAAATTTCATAAAATTAATAATAATTGATAAATTATCATGTTAATTTGTAAAAATTTAAATTATCCTCCTAGGGATCTTGACAATTTTACTAAAAATAATTAAAATATTCAAGAATTTAGAAATTCTATAAGAAAATTCCTAAAATTCACTATAACAGACGGTTTAATAAACAAAGTCACCATGCTTATTTGTTCGCCATTACTACATTATCCACTACTGTTTAAGTATAACGAACATAAAAATAGTGTTCAAGCAGAAAAAAAGCGGTAAAGAATGGCTAACTCTAGTGGTTATTTGCCGAGGTTCTGTCTGTCTTGTTTTCATTCCTGTTGATTTTTTGGCGAATGTTGGTGAGACACTGATTAAGATGGCGTTCCATTTTATCCGCATGTGCGTCGAACCGTTTGTCGAAGTATTCAAGTAAACGCTCAACGGCCAAATGATCGAATGAGAGATCAGCTCCGGTTGTTGATGAAGTCGTCAATGAAAGTGGAGATTGGGCTAGAAGAACACATCGATTAGATTTGCTGAGGTTACAACCAAGGATGCTTTGCTTTTGGAGGATAGGGCAAAAGTTTCGAAAGAAACCTGCAAAAATTCAACGGCATTTCAACAACATTGGCAATGGCTGTACCAAATTTTGATGAAACATTATGCATCTTGAGATCCTCATAATTTACATATATAGAAGATGTAGTCAAACGAGCCTTTGTGCATGATATATGGGCGTCGACACTTTAAATTACCATATTCTTGAAAATATGAGCATTGTCATACATATTCGGATGCTCATTATAAAACGTGACACTTTTGGAAAGTTTCAGACGTTTGCGTCTTGAGCTCAGTGGTACAAAGCGGTTTTCTGAAAGTCCCAAATTGACATGCTCAAACACCTCAAAGTCGACCATACTTTTCTTGGTTCAAAAACACTTTTAAGCGGAACGATAGTGATAGATCGATAGAGGACCTCAAAGGCATTCAGAGTATTTGACTCGTACTTTGTAGAAAAATCATCTCTGAAAGGCGAAGTTTTGGGAATTATTTACTTAAGTTTTTAAATTAGTTTTCGAGTTGAAACATTGTTGGTTTTTAGCAGAAGAATGTGTTTTTTGAAACCACGACGCATTTTCACTCACAGCCAAATACATATTCGACATCAACGTGAAAAACTGCATAGAATGATATGAATTACAGCCCAGCTTAAAGAAATTTATTGTTCGGGTAGGAGTGTGCGGGTCAAAATTTTTGAATAAAATTTTCCTCAAAACTTGGCAGAGTTGTGTGCAAAGTCTGTATTTGTGCCGAATAGACAACACTAGTTGGACTTTATACTGTCGAAAATCGATACAATGAATACCTTCTGAAGATGTTTAGATATGAATGTTATGCAGAGCTGGTCGAGTCACGTATAACCTGATTTCTTCCGATTTGTGGTTTTTCTGCCGAGATATCAACTTTACAACTTTCATTTTCCAAGAGGAGTGTAGCGGTTCGATTTATACTTCTTCGTTTTGTATAAGGAGGCGTCAAGTTCGAGGAAATAATGGTTCCCAGACCCTTCTGTCTCGTTGGGTATTAGGGGATCCACAAATCCGTTTTTTCTGGGATGATATATAGAGATGGAGGTTCTTTAGAGGGCTCCTAGTATTTAATGGGTTCTCTACAAGGGAGGTGTAGCGGCCAGAGAAAGCTCTCCTCTATTCATTTCGCATCTCCGAAATGTATTGGGTTCTATTTTCTTCTTGGCTCTCTTTTCTATGTATGAATGTTTTAATTTGATTTTCTCCTTATTCACATTTGTGGCCATGTTCTTATTATTCATGTTCTCCCTTATTTTCTTTTGTTCGGATGCTAAAATGGTCTGTTCAGTTGGTTGCTCACATTAATTTCACTAGCTACCGGACACTGTCACACATTAGCACGTATCTCAAACGGTGTTGAAGAGGCGTTCTTAATGGTATCTTCTCTTCTTTGACCATTTTTTTGTTTTTCTAAAATCTAACTTAGTTTTTGTCCCTTTCGGTCAAAAAAGAGGGCGATACCATTAACGATCTCAAAGGTTATAGCTCGTTCACAGACGTTTTTAGAACGGGACTTTGACCGTTGACCTGTCTACAAGGATGGATGGGGAGCCCAAAAGTCTCAATTTAAACTTACATTCTACATTTTCATGCGTGAGTCCCCAAAAAAATGTGCACTCACCAGTCGGTAGAGATGGCGCGGCGCCCGAGTACTTCTTGGTTGCTGAACCTGCTGAGGTTCTTGCCGAATCCCTTGTACGATGGCGTCGTTGAACGTTCTGATCGGTCGAAGTTGCCAGGTTCCATCCCAAGTTTTCGGTCCATACAGCATTTACACTTTCTGCTGTGCGGCGCGATTGTGATTCTGATGATGGTGGGAGTTGCGACAAAGACTAAGAAGAAAGACTGAAACGAGTCAGAAATAGAAATTACTCATTGTTGACAGCGTTATATACCGCTTCGGATGATGTATATTTTCTCATGATCTCCAGACTTTGAACTTCGTCACTTTAGTTATGTGGTGTCAATTAGATGATGAAAATAGAAAATCTTGACTTTTGCACATCAGAATAAAGCATACATCATTCGACGCGTAGGGCATAAATTTCCTCTGCAAGTGTTTCATTTAAATCGATCATGAGAATTCGAAGTTGTGCGAAAAATGAACTCAGAAAACTAAAACATGATTATTATATGAATTTGAAGAGGTTCTAGAGATGTTTTGATAGGAGACGGCCGTGATTACGTTGTATAAAGGATAGTACGTGTTTGGAAGATGTGCTTTTTATAACAAACATTTTCTTACAATCTTCGAAAAACACAATACATATAGTACTATTGTACCATATCTGCTCAGAATGACAGTAAAGATGCCATATGGTACGAGCACTTCGAAAGAATAGATCGTTAATTTTCACACCTTGCCCCCTTGCACTATACTAATCAGTCTTTCTCTCGCGAACCGAACAGCCTTGATTCTTTGTCAAAAGCTCAAAAACACGTAAAAAAGCATTCGTCGAGAAAAAGGTCGTACGAGCGAAAGATCAGGACTTGCAGAGAAGTACCTAACAAAAATCTGTAAATCAAATGTCGGACGGAATAACTTACGTCCATAGCGGTCTCTGTTTGATTCGATTGAGATCCACCGTGACAGGAGAGTCGAAGGCGTCGAAGAAGAGGCTGGCAGCAGAGTTTGCAAAGGAGAAATGCGATAGCAAATATTTCGATGAGCAACGAAATGAAGAGGAGCGTGTGTAAGACAAGTGCCTGAAGGCGAATAATCGGCGACTGATTATTCTTAACAAAGTAGGTCTCTTCCTTGAACGTAACCTTCAATATCGTTTGACCCCAACCGTATCGCAAGTACTCCCCAGCGTTTGCAAAACGGAGCTCGTCCGAGAGAATGTCGCTGTTTCTTATATTAGGTGCCCATCTACCGTCGCGAACTATTTTATCTTTGGCGTTAAGCGGCTCTGTCACGTTGATAATTTTGATGAGATTCACAAGGAACTCGATCGAGCGCCTTGTTATAGTTTGATTTTCCGCGTAGAAAAGAGTGCATACATTGAGTTCGCGTAGTATATTGCGGTTGTTGTCATCTTGGAAATCCGCTGGTCCATATAGACAAAGCCGAATAGCGCTGATGAAATGGGGTCCATCGATCTCGACTTGAGCATTGGAACTGTGGTTGTGCAAAGTGAAGTTAAATGACACAACGGCTTTATGCTCTGAAGTAGTGCAACTGTGTTTTGGATTTCTTGATCGTGTTTGAAATTTCCCACCGTCAGCGCTAATGTCGTAACATTGTACTCCAGTGTTTATCAGACTGACACCCGTCGTAAACTGTTGCTCGTCCAGCATTTTCGAAATATTCCAAAAATTGCCATCGGGATCGGGCAATAACAGTTGGAGAGAGCTGTCGAATTTTGTATTGCGCTCGTTGGCTTTACACCGCTCCAGACTCGTGTTGTTCTTGTCGATAGGATACCTATGAAGATAATCGCCTGCAAACCACCAAATAAATCCGATAAGAAGGAATATGGCTAACGACGCAACACCACCCATCCACCGTTCGCCTTCTGCGATAATGTCGAAGTGCTTGAGACAGAGTTTCACCCGTTTGCGATAGCTGTTGATCGAGATTGGCTGCCGTATTTTCATGATAAACATAATCAACCACACAACGAAACAGAGTCCTATGCCGAGAAGAGCCCAGAAGAGAGGCGAACGGACGATACAGTGAATTTTCCTCTCAAAAGAAAAGAAATTGAGTACAAGTAAATCGTCGTAGTTATCGATAATAGGTGATTCTGCATAGTTAAATGTTTGAGTGTACGTTGAAAAGTCAGCGATATTGACCTCGTCGGTAGCGCCGAGCGGACAAAACCGGGTGGAATTGCAAGGTTGACATTGATCTGCTGGACCAATTCCTGGATTTTTTCTCCCTGGTGGACAGACCGTGCAGGGACCAAGACCGGATGTATTTTTGTACGATCCACTCACACAATGATTCGGACCGTAAGTCTGCCAGCCGTATGTAACTACCATTGAAAATGCTCTCTTGACTTCAGGACAATAGCCGGCCTCCATGGATCGAATGTAGAGAACTTCATTCTGGTCACAGATGATAAACAAGCTGCCCGACCGGCCGAGAACATGGAGGAAAATGGAGTTTGGTAGATATATCACCTGTTGATTATTAGGAATCACAAAATCCAGCTCTACAAAACCACGATAAGGACCAATAGCGAATTTGTAAACTTGTACTGCGGACTTTGACCACCTCTGATTTTCAGACTTGTCAACGAGTAGAGCAAGTGTGCCGTTATCGTTAAGCCAGGTAACTGAGCGGCCTATACCCATGTGCATAACGTGCTGGGCAATCGACGAGCACGACCAATCAAAATTCTCCTTCCGATAACAAACTTCCACCCAACTGAATCTGACATGTCCGATGGCGACTAGCTCACCGGACGGACTGATCGAAACTGACATGTTATCATCTTGACCCCTATATGTAAGAGCTATACCAAGATTAATCTCTTTTAATAATCTTAGAGGTCGAAGGCCAACGAAAGAAGCGTAACGCATGTACTGCTCCCCTTTTACACTCTGGCCGACTACGACAGACCAATTATTTGTTAGATCGAATGCGATCGGGATGAATTGCTCGTGACCAGTGGCGTTGAATGTATCATTGATTCGGTAATATTCCTTTGTCCGCCAATCATAGGAAAGTATAAATGCATCGGCAAAGACGTAAGCATATTTCTCGTCACGATCGACTTTCAATAACATTGATTTTTGATGACCCTGTTCCCACACCACTTTATTATCCATCGTAGGTTCGGGAACATGGCTATCATTGTAGGTTCGGCCACACGGGTCTTCAACATTAATAGTCACTAGACTAAGTACGGCATAACCCGTTACGTTATGTTCGGCAATTTGCATGAAAGAGATTATTTTACTTTTCGGCTCCATAGTTAGCACAGAGAGACTGTACACTTTTAGTTTAGGATCTTTATAGCGGACTTCACACGGGCAAGCTTCTGATAGGACACGAACAAAGTACGTCGTCACAGAATTGTCAGCGAACATGATGACGCCATCGTTTACCGACACTTTGGTACCATGTGGCTCATCATTGATAGTCAAGGCTCCCGATTTGACTGTGAGCAGCAGAATGAGTAGAACTTCCGTACACATCATGCGTTGTTTTGTGAAAAATTTCGCAAGGTGGTTTAAAAGTCGTTCCAGCAGAATTTCGACTAAAGAAAAAGCATGACAATTTGGGGATTTTGATTTTAACTATCTAGAAAGAGACCACATCTTATACCATCTAAGAATCCAAAAATATTCTTGTCTATCAATCTATCTGCCACAAGTTATCAAGGTCACATTGATTACATCTGTACTTCGTGCCAGAAAATTTGAACTCTTTCTTAATAAGGCTTTCCATACTTATTTGTCCGCCATTACACACTCGACTTTTTCGTTTCTGAACGATTGGAAAGACCATCAAATTCTGCATGTTTTGATCTAAGAACGAGATCCGTAGCTATCTGAACATTCAAGTAGTGACTAGTAGAAAATGAAACTCAGCGCCTGTCCGCTTTATGTGCACTCTTCTCAAAGCGAACGGTCAGCAAGAAACACAAAGCGAACGTGTCGGCAGAGAACAAGCAAAAAAAAACAATGGGCGGAATATTGAATAAGAACCTTGTCGGATGTTATCGATCTTCTCATCTTAAGTAACGAGATATTGAGTTTTGTAGAGCCCAAAAAGGCGCATCCAATGCTATAGAATGCATAACATTTCAATTCCCTTTCAATAAATGTTACAGCTTTCGCTGCCACAAACTCTATGCGTGACAGCTTCTCTGTGTTTTCCTTTTGATCTTCTTCCTTCTCTTGCTTTCGTTCGTACGTAAGAAAAATGATGATAGGAACTAAACTGATCGCGGGTAAAGACTCTCGAATGAATACAGCAAATTCTTTTATTAATCAAACAGGATCTGTTGAACTGCTTTCATGCAAAGAAACGAACGGAATCTTTGGAGTTACGTTCAGAAGTGTAATATCTAAAATTTCTATAGAGAAAGATTAGAAAAGTAGAAGAAAGAGTAGAAGCAGTTGCAACAAAAAATATGTTCTGTTTACAATTGACAGATTCACAAATATCAATGGAACAAATGGAATACATTTTACCAAATTTACCGCATCTGATACATCTTGAATTGTACGCAAAAGGTTTGGCTGATCTCACTAATGGGCACTGATGGCAAATGTTGAGTAAAGAATCCGAGACTCAGATTAACCAATAGCAAATGTTACAATGTGACAGCGATAACGAACGCAAAAAGTCTGACAAGATCAGCAACTTGTAACAGCAGCTACAGCGGTGACATTCATGTCTGATTCAGTTTCCAAAATGACATTTTTAGACAACATATTGCATTTTCTTCGGCAAAATCGAGAAAATGAGAATCATCTGAAATAATTGGTCCTTCAGTTCAAAAAGGGTCATTCAAAAACAGTTCCGTTACCACACTGATGTTTCAACACTTTTAAACTACTATCCATTTCAAAATAGAAGAGACGGTCAGTGTGAGTAGAATAGCTCCGGAACGCGAGTAGCTAGAGGTCTGCAGTTTCTGCATTCAAGAGACATATATGGGGCAAGTAAATAATATGACGGATACAAAAGTTTTTGAGCGAATCTTCATGGGTTTTGGTGGATTTTCTGGAAGACTTTGGGATTTGATGCTACTAGTACTCATATTCCAGAAAATCCACCAAAACCCATGAAGATTCGCTCAAA